TGAACCGTCCTGCTTATAAAATAATTAGTGACACCAACTGCCAAATAGTAGAGTGTCAACAACGTTGAAACGTTGATGATTTGTGTAAACCTGTAAAAGGATTTTTTATTTATTTTTCAAAAAGATGATTTTTTAAATAAAGAGAAAATTTTAAATAAAGAGAAACTTCTTAAATAAAGAGAATAAAAGAAATTTTTTAAACGAGAATTTTTAAATAAATAGGATTTTTTTAAAACTGCAACTAAAATTCAGGCATATCAATTCATTTGAACAATAAGTTTTTATTCGTAATCTTAATCTCTTAATCACTATTGCCATCGCCGTCTTCATCACTATCTCCATCGCCATCTTTATTACCATCTTCGTCACTAACTTCATCACCATTTTCGTTCATCAGTTGAATCCATTAATCTCAGCAATCGCTTCCCCTTCATCAAACATTAGATTAGGTACAAAATCTTTTTGTTTACCCAAAAAAACTGCTTCTGCAGCATTTTTGTATTCTTTAAGATAATGATGAAACTTATTATATTTATATATAGCATCTCTTAAATCCTTCTCTCTTTTTTTCAGGTTTTCTTCATCTGGGAGCCAATTAAATCGATCATTGGCAAGAAATTCGATAATATATGCATCCAATTCGTCAGATTCTGCCATATAGAGCCGCTTAATATGATATGACACAGACATGAAATTACTACCGTTAGTGAGATTTTTCAATGAATAGTCGGGTGATTTACTCAAACTAATAACGCGTTTGACAAGGGGAGATTCCAATATCCGAGGATCAAGCAAAAGTTTCCATTTGTATTCGTTTGATTCTGACATGTTTTCAAAGACTGATTCATTGGCAAGAAGAAATCGTATAACTACTTCCGGTGAGAGGTACCATTTAGATGAAGGGCGATAATCAGGGTGATAAGGATATTTATAACCAAGTAATAAAGATGCAACACGACCAAGTAGTTCACGTTTTAGAGTTTCAGCAGTTTGTTGATGACTAAACTCGTATTGTATTTTTGCAAGTTGCTGGATAACATCAGTGATACTGCTTGAAATTCCCATAGTCAGACGGCGCCTATAGACATAATCGACAGAATTTTCTTCCTTTTCAGAAAAGCTAGTCTTGCTTTCCGGCTCATCAAAGGAGTCCGGATTTTTGCCCATATCTGTAAGTTCTTTGAATAGTGTTACCATGTCTTCCCGATCTGGAGGTTTTCCTCGTAACGAAAATCTGACTCTGTCAATCATTGTTTCTGAAAGGGTTGAAAAAATCAAGGGCTTTTTTCGTGTTTCACCTTCCGAATTTGTCTGTGATTCCTTGTCTTTTTTTCCTCTCTGGAACATTTTAAGGTTTTCAATCATTAAATTAAGATAAAGCCTGTTCTTTGGAGAATCTACAATTGGCTGCGACTTATTTGACTTATTTTCTTCGACCAACCAAAAATGCTCTTGAATAAGCAGAATTCGGATTATCAGCTGCCCATTTCATCAGGTAATCTTCGTCTCTATGCACGCAGATGCCACCCAACTGATAACAATGAACAAGTGACGTAGCATGTGTCATTACTAATAGGTCAGTACGTACATCTAATGTCTTCTTTAAATGGAGATATGGGTTCTCAAAGAACATAGCGTAGATTGCCCATGATATATCTTCAATGGGTGATACAGTAGCTAAATTAGGTGTTTCAGATGTTTCAGAGTTCAATTTTTGCATTGAATCCATAATATTTGCAATTTGTCTCTCCGTACTTTGCTGTTCTGCCGAACTTTCCTCTTCAGCGCTAAGTTCCCAATATCGCTTAAATCTGGAAATCAGAATACCTTGCATCGGATCATCGCTTTGAGATTGTAACAGAAGAGAAAAATCAGTGTCGCGCATGATATGAATAGTATATTCTGCATGTAATAATAAACACATAGCACCGAAAACAGACACCCATTGATTACCTCCGCGCATTTTGATAGAATTTCCTGAAACTTTGTTAATGTTCTTTTTTTCATGCTTTTCGTATATACAAAAAATTTTGCCATAATCTTCGCTAATTTTTTGATCAACTGCAGGACCAAAACTTAATTGAGTTGCTGTTGATGCTTGCACTTGGCGTGAAACGAATTTATCAACATCAAGTTTTTGTAGACTAATAAGAGATGACCGCAATGTATATTCTTGTGATAACCTCTGTATTAACATCTGCGCTGTATTAAAATGAATGTCAGCAGGATTGATGTAATTCTCAATGTTGTCCATATAGTATTGAAAATCCGAGTCGCAAAATTCTTGAGGAGGAAATTCTGCAAATCCGTTAGTGCCCTTTAGAGTTTCAAAAATCGTCCACATATCCTTTAAAGACCATCCATATTCTACACTAGATTCTCGTGCCATTTTGATCGAATCTCCAAATTTTTTCAACCAAGGATCAGAATGAATAGTTGGGGTATATAATGGTGAAGCAAAAAGTGTTTGAAAAACAACTATAAATTGTTTACAGAACGAAGTTATCAATTTTGATCGATCTTTAGTAGACTTAATATCTTTTAGCAAACTATTCAGTTCTGTTATTTTGTTAGATTTCCATTCAGATGTATAATTCATGAGATCTTCTGCAGCTTTTAAAATATGAACATGTAATGCCTGGAGTAATTTTTCCTGTAATTTCATCATTCCAACCGAATTCTCGAATTCCATTTTTTCTCTATCATTCATTGGAATTAGTTCAATGCCATACTTATTCCATTCATCTTTATCACAAAGAATTTCAATCATATCTTTATTATTTTTACGTTCTGATTCCTCAAATTTTTTCCATCCGTGTTCCAACAATGTTTCCCAATTTTCACTACTGGAAGCCGTGTAATGAAACTGCACACCATTTGAGAAGTTACGCTCAGCTAGTTGCTCAATTTTTGAGCGAATGAATTCGAGGATATTCCAAGAGCTACAACGAATAGGTTCACTATTTGTTAAATTATTGTTGGATTTTTTTCCTTTAGATTTGTTACTATTATTGTCAATTTTCCCTGGCCTAACAAAATCACCACCAGTTAATATTCTATCTCTTATTTCTTGAGCAATCCCACTAACATTTATTTGATCCATTCTTGTAACAAGGATGATTAGATTTTCACCATTAATTTTTTCAATTAATTCAATGTGTCGAGTCCAAGATAGATTTTCTATAAACTTTGCTGAGATACATAACAGTACTATACTGTCATTTTGTGATTTCTGACGTTCTAACACTTTTTCCAACGTATGACGTGTAATATTATCAGTGATCTTTTGGGTTTCAATATTTTTTGGTGTCAATCCCGGATTATCACAGCAATCTATTGCAAAAGATGGAACGTTAGAGCGAATAATAATTCGAGCCTCCTTTTTATCATCCAAACTACTGTTATTAAGTCTCGTGAATTCACTGGTTAAATCTTGTAAATTACCATTACGAAAGAGCACTTCGTTATTTTCTGGCGCATCGTACTCTAACAGCAAGTCATATTCTGCATCTTCCAAATCAGGGTCGTACCTATGCTCAATCCAAGTTCTTATTTTAGTGACAGTATTACCGCCCATTTGAAGAGCGACTTGTTTTATAATACTATTTACAGTGGTAGATTTCGAAGCACTTTGATCACCGATCAGAAATATACCACGTGTGGTACCATCTGCGTCTCTAGAATTTGGATCCTCCCTTAATAGTAATTGACCAAGACTGAAGGCATGACGAATGGGGTCACCATCATCACGACTCCATTGTTTCATGCGTTCGCAGAATTCGTCCATAGAATCGTTTAAGGTGTTTTCATTTACAGTCATGATTTGAATTTATTTTAAGTGTAATTTTTTTCTGTTCATAAATATTCTATTCTTTTTTATATTAAGATACAATAAATCGTACTTAAAGAGTCGATCCTATTATTATAGCTATCATTTTCGGCATAAATGGACAAAATGATTAAATAGATCTATACCAATTTTAGCATCAAGTAAAGTTCACATTGTGCTAAATGTGGTATACTAAATTACCGAAGACCTATATTAGGATTGTAACGGAGATCCTCCAGAATTACGCCGCTTCAGATTATATTTCAAACACTAGTGTGCGATACGTACAAGTAAAATTTATTAAGATAATCGATATTACAAATAAGTTGTTTGCAGATAAATTTGCCTTGACGTAGATACTAAATCATCTTAACTAATACCATTTCATATTCCAAAATAAAAAAAAATAAATATCAATAAATCGCGAGTTGTAAAAATATGAATATACAATATTTTAAATCAGCTTAGATTTTAATGATATAATGTGTTGTAACGCACATTTTGCAAATCTAAGATATTTTAAAACTACGTACTGTACGTACGTACATACGTACATCATATCAAATATCGAAAAGGCAATTTATAAACCAAATGCAATTAGCTTAGCTCAACTGTATGAAACTCTATTCAATCTACTGTATTCGAAAAAGTAAGTCATGTTATATTAGCCAGACTGTTTGACTTATCTATTCGTGTAACCGAGCTAATAAAAAAATTGTGCATGCAACTTAAAGCTATTATCCGGGTCAGACATTGATCCAGGTCATGACCCGGAGAACTATGGCCAAATTAGCTTTGATAGTAAACAAAGAAAAACGTCGAAAAGAATCACCTTACACGACATTTGTATTTTTGTTTGGATTATGCCGGCAACCGGGATGATTTATTATTGAAGAATAGCAGAATACATGAATAGCAAATGGTGCAGTTGGCCAGAACGGTAATGACCACCCGCGAAAGTAGCAACCGTGATTGCACTGGTGGTCGCCGTGGGAGCAGCCGGTGGTTTCCCGCTCGCCGTAGCGAGCCGGCTGAGCGAAGAGATAATAGAATCACGTGTTCTAAATCTGGGAGTGGGAGGGTGGGTCGCGAGGATTTTGGTTCGAATACTGGTTGTTCATTTTCCCGCCATTCTTCGATTCTTATATTCGATTGACTTTCTTCAACGCCCATTCTTGTTTCTTCTTGGTTTGCACCGGCAAATATGTCATTGACATGTGTTATTCATGTCCGCGTGTGAACTTCCCACGCTGTTTGATTATTTCACATGTGCGGGCATTCTGAGGCTGGAAGTTGAGGCGTTGTGTAGGGTGTCCAGGATTATGCGATGCGAAATTATGCGCATAATTTACTGTTTTTTCGCATCGCATATGCTTCGCATAATTGAGGAAAAAAGGCATAATTGCACGTGGGTGAGATATGATTGGTGGAAGTGGCGTTTAACAGGTGAAAATTCCGAATATTCCCGACGCAGAAAGTCCAAAATATTCCGAATTTTTCGCATAATTGACAAAATCTAAATAAGAAATCGCGTAATTCGCATCCATCGCATAATTTGACCTTGATCGCACGCATAATTTACCCTATCGCATCGCATAATTCTGGACACCCTAGCGTCGTGTGGCTGTTTCTCTTTTCGATCACGTGATCTACGATCACTCCGCATAATTCAACAATAACACGGATGATTTAATGTATACGGGTGTAATGTACGGTTTAAGGGTTTATGATAGGGCAATTCCGGAAGGGTTATTGTTGATGTATCAGGGTGGATACAGGGACTCGAAAAAATTGGCTTCCATAATCACAAGAAATGTTTCGGGTTATGGCAAAAAAGTGTTTTTTATTGCAGTATATAAACTCAATCTCAATTTTAACTAGAATACATTATATTTGGTATCTGTGAAAATTCTAAATTAAGCTTTTGTCTATTTTCTGCAGAAATATTATTATAATTTAAAACCGCTATTGGAAAAATGTCTTTAAGCCAAGAATATAGCCTATCAACATCTCTAATAGAATATCGGCATTTACAAATGCCAATTAAATCTTTAATATTTACCTGCTAGTGCTTGCTAATCCGTTGCAAAAATATAAAAACCTACATCTCAAGACAACCAAATGTGCTTGAAATATTTTGAGATTTACTATCTCTTGTCGATTGTAAAATGATGAGTTTATTTATACTACAATTTAATTGGTTAATTATCACGTGCATCATTGAAAGGGTAAAATATTGTTTTATAATGCGATATCTAATAAAAATTGTGATTAATTGTAATCTAATCTTTTCAAAAAATTTTCGGGTCCCTGGGTGGATGTTAATATTAACAATAACTTAGAGGTCAGATTGGGTTAAGATAGACAATTATCATACATGCGCAATGCGCTTTAAGTGAACGCAAGATAAAAATAATAGTTTATTAAATAACTCCAGGATATATAAAAAAATGGGATATGAAACAGAAACGGAATATAACAAATTGAGAAATAAATATAAAAGAAATAAACATAAGTAAAACAAAGAAAATGACAAAGAAAATAAAAGAAATACTAGACAACTCACTAAATAATCAATAAACCTAAAATACCAATTGAGAAATCGAATCTATCTAATCGAAGTTTGAAGTCTACTCTATGGGCGAATGCGGGGCCTATAAATACATGTTGTTTTATTGTGATTCACATCACAATATACATTTTAATTCCGATAGTGCTTCATTCTAATACTACTCCTCTTATGAAAAGGGGAATATCGCAAAGCTTATCGGAAGACTAAGGGACTACTATAAGAAAAACATGGTTTATCTGGATTGCGTAGAGGTCCGAACCGGATGCAAATTTATCACCCGGGTCACCCGCATAATTTTGAAATCGGGTACCCGGGTGAAACCGGGTTATACGCTATAGTGTGATTTATCGTACTAAAAAATGAAAGAACTTCTCATAAAGAAGCTTACAATCCGATAAATGCACGTAAAAAAGAATTTATCCCATATTTAGAAACAGATAAATACGCGTAAAATGTAGTAAATTGATATTTTATCACTAATAAACCCAAACTCAAATCGATCAAAAAATTCAATATGTGAATAAATTATCAAAACTATATATTTCCCGCATCAGTGGGAATAAGGGATAAACCCTCAGTCATCTGGGCCAAAGGGCCCAGCAAGCCGAAGATCTACTGGGTTATTTTCCGTAGCAGTGAAACAATAAAAAAAATCAAGTTTTTTAGCAATGCATGTTATTTCCCCGGAAGGCGGGAAAATGACAAGCGTTGCAGGGAAAAACAAGCATTGCCAGAACTTGATTTTTTTACTAATTAAAGTAGTGATTATAAGTTGTAAAACCTAGTTATGCGATCATATAGAAATGTAAAATAACAGAATTTATTGGTTAGTATAAAAAAAAGGCATGTTCAAATCTTAACTGATTTGACCCGGGTTATAAATTAGAAACCCGGTTCACCCGCTTTGATCTGGGTCACCCGGGTTTATGTAACCCGGTTCGGACCTCTAGGATTGCGTAACAAGGTTCGTGGCCAGATCATCCAGAAATGCAGATGAACCACATACCAGGCACCGGGATGCAACACGAAGATAATCTAAACTAACACTGGGTTAACAGGTCATAAGGAAAATCATAAAAACTTTAAAGTTAACACTTATATAAGTTGATGTAGCGACTCTTATTTAGAGCTATTACTTATATCAATAGTTATGTAGGTTGTTCTTGAGAGTTTAAAGTAGAATTTATAGAACTTTATAATTTTGTGTTGTGTCTCTTATATTAATGTATAACAAATATTTGAACCGGAACTTTTCAAATTTTGCATCGAAATTTCTAAACCTTGCTTGTAATTTGAGTTCATTCATTTTCTATGTCAGAAGTACTCGATCACTAGATTTTATCTATATTATTCATTAATTTAATCCATGTTATCCATGACTCGTTTAGTCCAGGCTGGGCCAATTTTTGACTCATGAACCCATTAAGAAGCTGACCCATACAATCTGACACAAGTAAGAGCTCTAGATACAATGAATGGCAAAGTAATGATGCAAAAATTCAGTGGCACGTAATTCAGAGAATACCATATTTGCACGTAATAATGCACATGTGTGTTAAAATTGCTTTTTTATCTCAAAATAACGCCAATGTGCATCCAAAATAACATAAATTCATTAATAAAAACAGGCTTTCTCTTGTAATCCAAATTTGTCAAGCTACCGAGCACACGCATTCTGAAATAACACGTAGATGTATGTTATTACGTGCAAATATGATATATATATAAACCTCCAAATCGGGCTTGCACATGGTTTATCCATCATCAGAAAGTTTTTTAAAAATCAATAATCAACTCGTTGTTTAATTAAAAAAATAAACATTGCACCTTTAAGATAAACATTACAGTATATGACTTGGTATTTAACTACTTAGGCCAGACCAATTTGATTCTCTGTTTAACATAACCCCTCCCCCTATTTTTTAAAATTTTGCATGAAAAACACATAATATTAGCAATCAAATTATAGTATTAACTTTTTGCATTTTTACAATTTTTACAGCCAATAGAATTACTGTATTTTTTATATTTGTGTTTTTTTAATACCCTCCCCTACTATTATAAGCTACTTTTATGTTATGTTAAACAGAAAATTAAATTGGAGTGGCCTTAGTTAAATAACAATTTGTACATTGTATATTGATATTTTATACATTACAATGTTTAATGAAGTCACCTTTTTCAATGCTTTTTTAGATTGATTAACCCAGATTAACCATCTAGATTTATTATTTTTTATAACTTCGTGATAATTATATTTCATTGGAAAAGTTTAAAAGTATAACGATAATTGATATTTAATCATAACAATTCCAATCACAAGTCCTCAGTTTGGTCTATAGCACCAGAGCAAAAAAACAAATTTCAAATTATAATTTAGTTATAA